CAGTAGTGTGCTAGACTGGTGAATCGATAGTTTGAATGTCAGCAATAGCAGGATCATTTTCAATAAGGAGACTGTCAGACTCCTGCTCTTGCATAGGTGTTTCCTCAAGAGGTATCTAGCATGGTAAGAAGTCAGATCAAGAATAAAAGTTGAATAGAATCAATAATTTTTGACAAAAAATACTTGGGCAGCATCAAGGATAAGATGAAAGACCTCACATCTTCTGCCGTTTTGGAAACATCTGTTATTTCAACCAAAATCGGCTCTTCTTGGGGATCGGCTGATGAAGGTCTAGTCGATGCGGAATCGAACGCCTGAGACAATAGCTCCACACCCAAAACCGATTGGGATGCAATGGTTGATAACTATGAAGAAAGGGGATCAGAAGTTGAACTTCATTTTGAGGAAAGTATGGATTATTTACCTGAGTAGTTGTTGGTCTCGTTCTATGAAGTCTTTTCCCAGTAACGGCTTTCTAGGTTGCCCCTTGGACCACCTTGCGCTTTGAAGATTGATACGTCACAATCATGAGGGCAGCATGGGTCTTCATTAGTTTCTTCAGTGAAGGTGCGGCCGATCCTATTCTTGAAACTAGGCATGGTGACAGATAATCTATAAGACGCCCCTTCCTATCCAAGCTCGGAGGATCAAATTCAGTGTCCTAAAAGGGTCGGTTAGAATAGTTGGCAAAAGAATTCATCGAACAATTTTCTTAAAAAGAAATGGCAAGTTACCTCTCTGTCAGAAGCAAATTCCCCATCTAGAGCTATACACAAAGGGTGGACCAACCCACAGAAAAGATGGGAATGCCATTCTTGCCACCAGGAGTCAAAAAGAGTGGAAGAGAAGCTGACTTTGATCCAGTCATGCAAGCAAAGGGAAGGAAGATCTAATCCCAGTTGGAAAATTCTGGAGGCTTCTAGTACTTCGCTGATACCTTCTCTTGGCCTCAATATGTCCTTGAAGAAAAGTTGAGGAGGCAATTGACCAAGACCAAACTGACGAGCTACAAAAGAGGGGTTGTAAAACTCATAGGTTGGAAGGTTGCCTAGGAGGAAGGAGCCTATAGCCATTTTGCCACGACCATGATGAAATTCAGCTGGAAGGACACATGGCTTGATGAAGGAATTGAAGATTGCAGCCGCTATCTCGTCCAAACAGCCTAATTCAAATCGAAATTTGAATGGGAAGATCAGCTCATTGTTCTCATCCTCATCATAGGGTAACCAAGTCAGGATATCTGCATCAAACCCTCTATAAAACTTTTTGAAGAGGTGGCCAACATCGACAGCAATTGTTATGGCTGATGCAGCTTCACCATAGCTCATGCACTGACGGGTTCTTCCTTCTTCGCCTTTATATTCCTTATCAAAGTTGGAGGAAGGGAAACTCAGGTTTCTGAGATTAGGCCTTACAATCTTGTGCATATACAAGTTGAGCCACAGTTGTATCAATAACCAAGCGCCACTAATAGTTTGCATCGGTACATTCTTTAGTAATTGGGCAACTACCTGGTGCATCAGATGATATGCAGCTCCTAGCAGATACTTTCCAAGAGGGATATTCTTGCCTACTGCCAGATGCTCTACCATGAGTTTGTGATTGTAAGTCAGACCACAAGGTGACCCACAGAAGATGAATCTCTCCAACCACATATTCAGAAAGGCCACATATTCTCTTTCACTAACAGTTGATTCGTCTCTAATATGATTCAGAATGTAACTAGCTCATCCTATATAGTCTGATATCTTGGCTAATTTCTTAGATCCAGCACTTTAGAAGTCATAAGGTTACATCGATCCTATTATTCTGAGGCCCGTTAGCATATAAACATCGGCTAAAGTGATAGTCATTGGGCCATGACCAAAAACAAAGGCATTTAGGGTATTGGACCAGAAATAAGACGCATAAATCAGGAGTGGATCATTCCTCTCCATTCCAGACAACGAGAGCATCAAGCATTGATTCAGATCATAAAGCTCCCAATTCCGCCCCTTTTCTCAGACAACCTACGGAACCAATTTCTCCACCCCTTAGGCATTTTGGGCCAGTTTCTAAACGGAGTTTTGGTATTCTAGGAGGACAAATCCACTGCAGACTGTTTGAAGAGGATTTGGTTGGTTTCTTGACATATAAAATCAGATGGATCCGGGTCACCCATAGGCCCAAAAAAATAAATATTTGAAGCAACAGCTGATGAAATCAAGATTTTATTCCTCATTTCCTGAAAATTAGATGAAATAAATTTGAGAACAAAGGAAATGCAGGGTAGCGACCGATGTTTTGAGAACAGGAACTTGAAAGCATACCTCAGGAACGTGGTCATTGGTCGCCATTGCAGCCGAGACAGATTTGAATCTAAGGAAGACCACTTGAATAAAGGCTTGATAGGGCAGAAGATTTGTTAGGTTTGAGGCCTTGGTGAAGGCGGCGTCGGCTGTTAAGATTTGCTCGAGAAAGAAGGGGAAAGCAAGCATGCCAAATAAGTTGGAAAAGATGCTATTGGGATATTATATAAGACTCGGGCTAGGAAGTTAGGAGTCACATGTGTATCTCGGAATAAAACGGTTGCGGCGTGGTAAACAGATAAATAGGAATTTTGGAATAAAATCATTTTTATCCCAAAACTGGAGGGCATGTGTTTACACCAAAATTTGGGGAGAAGAATATGGGAACTTGAAGCTTCCAAAATTGTGTCGATCAAGGACAAGATTGCATGAAGATCGATATCAGCTGATTCAGAGGAGGCACTGGAATTGGCTGCCTTTCAATGACATCAGCAGATAACGATAATGGGCTACGGTTGGCGTCGAGAAATACATATCGGACTCTACAAAAAGGGAAAGATTAGGGTCCAAATTATCTTAAGTTAGGAATGTTCTCTTATATACCAAAGATTGTATTGAGTCGTATTTGAATAGGATTCATGTTTAGGCTCTAGGTATAAATACTGAACCCCGGCTATTGTAAAGGACACACAATCAATCAAATACAAGTTACTTACTTTTTCGGCTCCGGCCACCCCTTAGGAATAGGAGTAGAGTAGATCTCGGTGAGTTCTTCAGCGAGCAGGGCTACATCGGTCTAGCCAACCTCCGGCTTGTTTGTAAGTACCATCATGGCTTATACCTCTGTTTGTATAGCTGCATCGATCCAGTCGACCTCCACTATGACTCTGGTATAAGCTAGTTATCGACTCTTATCTAGTTCAAGTACGGCTGCATCGATCTAGCTGACCTCCACTTCTCGAACTAGATTAAGGTCAAGTTATCGGCTCTACCTAAGAGTGGCAATCTTTGGTAGATTCATTAAGTTACTAATCTTGCTAATGTTTTTCATTGTCATTAGTCTGCAACAACATCAATCTGCCCGGTCAAGATCGATTTAGATCGGCCTCATATCCTTTAGATCCGTCGTTTGTTTTGTTACAACATGATATTGTCTACCTTAAGCGATGGTTTATGTTTCATCGGTTGTTTTACTTCGATCTTGATCACACATAGTACGCAGTTAAGGCATGAATATTATTGGAGAGGTTTGCTGGTTAGTTAAATCTGGACTATGGTTCACTATTATGGCTATAACGATCCGGTCGATCCCCACTGATAGCACTGTAGATTGGAGGATGCCAGCTAGTAAATTTGTTCTTGATTAGGCATGACCTTAACTGTTTGCTATGCCTGCATCGGCTAAATAGCCGATCGCTTGTGCGTTAAGGCCTACTGCATGTTTACATGATTCTGTTGAGCGTGAATAGATCTGTTTACTTTGAAGGTTTGATTTGTTGTCTTTATCACGGCTGCATCGATCCGGTCGAACCCCACTGTTAGAGATAGCAGGTTAGGTTTGATGAGTCCATAGGTCTATCCACGTGAAATAGTCGACTGTTCACATGCTGTAGTCCTCTTCACTAGAATCGGCTATTTTAGCTGATTCATCCGAGCCTTCACGTATAGCATGTCTTTCGAAAAGCCTCTAGAAGTGTAGATGGTTTGATGGATTCTTCGGTTTTAGTTTGTTATTATCATCATAGCTGTCATCGATCTGGTCGAACCTCACTATTGATGGTAACAGATTAGATTCAGAGCGTATGTAGATCCATATATATTAGATAGTCGATTTGTTCGTGTGCTATATCCTTTATTGTTAGATTCATCGGCTCAATGATTCATACTGGTAATATCCACCTAGCTGATGATCTCATTTACATATGTGTGTATTGTACCTATCAACATAAAATCAATCACTACCCATGGGCTTTATAGTCTGTAACAGCCGATTTCTGTGCGTATCGGCTATTTAGTAGCTCTTCCCGTATGGCTGCTCCCAATGAGGTACACTTGGAACTGTCTGGGCACAGACCAGCATGTTCCACCTTAAATTACTGATAAACTTTCTCTCCTTGTCAATTGCAGGGTCAAATTTACTAGCACGTCTTGGGAGGAATACGCAGGATTGATTATCCCTGCGTTGAAGCTTGGCAGATCTCCAGCTCCAATGAGCAGACCCTTCTGTCTTGCTGTGTGCCGACATGACACATTTTCGTGCCGACACAAAGCAAGTGTATCCTCATCAAAATCACTAGCAGAGGAATACTCACTATCATCTTTGATGACCATAACACGCTTGCTTGGATAGTCATGCATCACATGTCCATATCCCTTACACTGGTTACACTAAACGTCTCTTGTTCTACCTATAGATGCCACAGATGAAGCACTCGCAGCAGGCTTCTGCATCGTCTTTGCCACTGAATTTGTGGGAGTAGCACAAGGTTTGTCGCTGGATGATGGCATAGGAGTACGTGTAGTCGGATTAGTAGTCGTGCAGGGCTGCCATGAATTAGTCTTCCCTATAGAAATATTATTCTTGGCACTGGCGCATCGCCCCTACACTTCCCTTTCAGCTTTACAAGCAAGATGAAACAAACGGGTTACGTTAGTGTATTCTTTATACGCAAGGATGTGAAGAAAGATGCAGATGAATTAGGGAAGGGCAACATGTCGAGGCAGGACGACAAATGGGGGCTCCCAACTATTAGGGTCCCTCCTAATGGTCTGTCAGATGCATATAGGAAATGGCTTCAGAACCAGAAGGAGCTTGTTGCACAGGTGCTGAAGGCAGCAATGGCTATCAATGCTAATATTCTTATGGAAATGGAGGTTCCTAAATCCTACACTGAGTCCCTACCAAAGGTGATCCATAAGACTAGAGTACTAACCGCCTTGTCGTATTCTATTTACAACAATTCTAACGATATAACTATAACTTCTATTGTTATATGTCTGCTAGAATGGGAAGTCCACCCTTGGAGATTCAATGTACAAACTTATAACCGATGATTATTTTGACCCTGAAGAACTTCTACGCTCCGTAGACTTGTCGGATGAACACAATATTGTTGATCTGAAGAACCAAGTCAAAGCCTCAGTAGTCATCTGGCAGAAGAAAATGACCCACAAGGACAGCAAATTGTCGTGGGGGCATAATTTTAGTCATGAGAAGAGGGGAATATTTGAAGGGAGGGCAGAAAATGTTCTTCTCCTTATTAAGCATAGATTTCCCAGCATCGCCCAGTCGGCTCTAGACATAAGTAAAATCCAATGAAACAAGGTATGGGAAGCATTCACATACCTTTGCCTTTTCAGATACCCCATAGTGCTTTGTTTACTCGAATGCCTTGCATACCTCCCTTCACTAGTAGTAGCTCTAACACATGTATTCTCAGGAAATTCATAACATGCAAACTTTTGGTCAACAGCAATTTCCCAAGAAATGTATGCATCAGGATCATATTTAAATTTAATTTTACTGAAAGCATCATTATTATTGGGTACCTCGCATCGGCGGTGACCACCCATACCTCTACGATTATGGCATAGGCGACTCCAATCATGAGTGTCATGAGCATCATGTTTAGTATTAGCAGTATAATCATCATCATAATTATCTTCGAGTCGCTCTTCATCCTTGTTGTCTTCATTATGTTGCTCTTTGTCTTTCGTGTTGAAGTCATCAAAATGCTTTAGAAGAGCAGCAAGGCTTCTATCCATATGGGCAACAGATGCCTCCAATACTATAAGCTTGGTGGTGGTGGCAAGTTGGGTGGCCTCCAATTGCCCAATCTTGTCATTGGTCACCTGTAAATCTTGATCAAATCCTTCTGTATGCAGCACCACTTGCATTGTAAAATGTTGAATGATGCCCTTGCTGCGAGGAGATTGTGGTATCTTGTTAACATCCTCTGATCCTGACATGGTCTAAAAGACAAGGACAACAAGAAAATAGGTGAAGAAATAAAAGCCCTACAACTATTAGGATGTAGCTACAGCAAGACGCTCACTCTCAACCCGTTACACAAGCTCTTACCAATTCTTACCTTGCTCAACAGGAGGGGATGGCAACCAACAAGTCTGCAACCATGGAATGAAGTGTATCGGTGCCACAACAACAACACCTATCAAGCTGTAGTCGAAATATGTGGAGCTGTAGGTGGGCTGAAGCAAGGAAGTACTAGCACCACGTTAGTCACAAAAGCAAGCTGAATAATCGTTCAATGGTGGTACTGTGCTGGTCCTAGCCTAGACCGTGCTAGAGGCGCGAGCCTGGACACAAAGGAAGTCACAACACACCACCGACAACAATGGAGAAGCACAATGAACAAGCCCTTTTCTTCCTTTTTTTCTTTCTTTTCTTTTTTCTTTCTTTTCTTGTTTTGTTTGTTTTTTTGTTTTTTTAGGGGACCCTCAAAACTGATTATATAAACAAAAAGACTTCACAAGAGTCACACACCACACAAACTTTTTCTGAAAGGACAAGGGTATTCTGGTAAAAAAACAGATATTCTCTCTCTCTCTTGAGTAAAAACCAAGCTAATATGTATGCACAATGTGGAGGAGTCGAGTACAGGTATGGACTTTTCATACCTTTCTGGAACACTTCAATATATGTAGCACAAGTGCAAATAGCAACAAGATTTGGTAACACGGCGCAGCAACCAATTTAGACTCCACACCGATTCCAATTCGGTCTTTAACAAGATTAGGACTCTGGAGTAAGCTGAGCTAATATGGATATGTTGGACATGGAGAAGTTGAGTATAGATATGAACTACTGTTGCACAAAGATGTACTCAGATTCGGACTCAAAACAACAACAAGACAGCTATCAATTCGGACTCAAAACCGATTCCAACTCGAACTTCAACACCACGTGGGATTCGGTCTTAAAACAAACGCAGATTCCTATTCAGACTTGAACACAAGGATGTATTCAGATTCAGCCAACAGAAGGTTTATATGGTAGCACACGGCTGTGACTAGAACGTGACAAGAACTCAAAACTCTAAAGGACTAAAACTAAGACCAGCAACTTAACACAACCGATGCAAACCGAAAACTCAACAAGCCCTAACTAAGTAGTGCAAGCAAAGGCTCAAAGGGTTTATAGGATTATGGGTAAACTAACCTACTATTTTTTTGGTTTGTCTGGACTATAGAAAAAATTAAAAACAGCGAAGGATTCGAAGTCTCTCACCGATAAACCTTGCTGTCATTACCAACTGGTATGAACCAACTAGGGTTGAATCCTGAACTTTCGATGAGAGGGCCTGTGATAACTCGATTGGTGGATAGAGACGACGTTCACAGCCCAACTACAGCATTCCAAGCTGCTCCTTAGCAACTGATACACCACCTCCAATGGCTGCTGCGATCTTGTGGAGCACATCACCAGGCCACTAGGGCACTCGTCTTGCAAGCAATCAAAGAACTAGCAAGAACAAGTATAACAAGTACTGAACTTACTAGATGAAGATGAAGGTTTTCAAACTCAATCTCAAATAAGGTGGGGTTCCAGAGACAAGAAGACGGGCGGCTGATCCAGCACGCACGCTTACAAGCAAGTAGCGAGAGCTAAACTTGATCTAAACAAAACCCAACTGTTCTTGGTGGTGGCTAAGGGGTATATGAAGATGGAGGGACGACCACTAGGGTGTTGGGGATGTGCTCCAACCCTAGGATGCATCCCTAATGGACCTGACTTGATACACGGCCCATTCGACCAAACTAAGGCGACGCAGCACATTTGGATAGAAAACCTCTCGGTAGTAATTCATTCATTGCGGCTACCTCAGAATAGATATGGACTTGATTCTAGATCCATGTGAAAATAGACTTCATAAGGATTCCATGAAGTACTTGAAAGCCCCAATCCTAGTCCGTATGTGACCGTGGTGACCATCACAATTTGGTGTTGTCCTAGAGTCCGAATCCAGCCTGCGCGAATCCTTTTCCCTTTCGGTCCTCTCCCTGGTTCCTAACCAAAACAAGAGTGCACGCATCTCTAGGGTCTAAATATGATGGACAGGAACTCAAGGGTGAACTTATTTGATGATCAAGTTGACCAGCACGGGCACGAGTAATAGGACCAGAAACTAGTACTTGTGTCAGCGTGGATGTATCGTTGGTGTTGATGTCCTCATCAGAAACGGTGCCAAGCACGATTTTTAAAGCAAGCCAAAACTACTTAGCGTCTCGATTACGACTCAACCAATTCCACTAACATGTAGCTGGTGCTAACATCTAACTAGCGAAACAATGCAATGACCAGAGGATGGCCCAAGAGAAAGATGGAGAGACGCCAAGATAAGATCATCGCGTTGAACGCCATTTTGTGAACCGAGCACCAAATCATGGTTCACATCGCGTTCTAAGGAGGTTTGGGCAATTCTTACAAGAGCATCATGACACCCAACACAACTTCAGCCTATCCCATGCTCAAGCACTTACTTTGATGCAATCAACAATACCAAAACATGCAGCTAGTGTTTAAACATTTTTGTTAGAAATTAAATGTCAAAATAGCATTGTCTTACTACTTTTCCATACTTAGAAAGGTTAAGGATTTCAGTTGGGACTAAGTAGCCATTAACTCTTTTGTTACAATTTTTAAAAGGCCTAAACCTTATTAATTTCAACCAACAAGTATTTCATGCAATAGTCCATACCTTATACTAACCCATTGGAGCAAAATATTTAAACACCATTTAGCTATTTTGCTCAATATAATTTGCCAAAAATGGTATTTTAAACAATAGTTCAAGTGTTTGCCGACTTAACGAAAAGAGCTTATCTTAACGTCAAATTTGATTTTTGAGCTCCCAAGAGCACTAGTTAACACTATTTATTTTCACAAATTAAAGTTGCCTCTTCAACTACACCACTTGCTTGTCATCTTCACTTAAGTATTACACACAAGTTATATTTTATTTTTGTTTATATAAATTGTTTTTTCGTGCCAAACAATTAAAATGACCTATCCCATGTTTCTCGTTAGGATTTTCATTAGCACTTTTACACACCAAGTAAGTTAACTTGGATATTTATTTGAGTCCACAAAAATGAGTCACATAGTATTCGCTTATCATCTCACATGCGTTATAAATTTTTAAAACCCAAAAACCTGTTAGGCTAATCCCTCTCGCACCTAAATCTCAGTGCTAAGCAAGCTCATAACACCAAGGGTGTTACAATCTTCCCCCCTTAAAAGAATCTTGTCTCGAGATTCAAAACAAGAATTAGAAAGGGGAAAAATGCGATTACACTTCGTAGATCTGAAATTACACAGAAGATTACACGACGTCGAACACTAAATCACACTAGGATTTAGAGATACATGGCTAAGAGCAACCTAGTACAACCAAGGTTTAATCCAGAAGTTGAGATAGACGAGGACAATGGAGAAACAACAAGAAAATGATTATCCAAAACATGGCGTATGCCCAATAGATCCAGAAATAGGAGACTAAAAATTCAAACATCGTGAACCCTAAGACCAAACTAACCAGAGGTGGACTTAAACTTCTTCGACAAAAACCATATCCCTTCTTCTCGGATTACACAATCACCACTGACAGGTGACCCTAGTTCTATGAGCGACGGCTGGATCTCGCAGCTCTGCTTCGGATTCGAGGGGATGGGGATGAAGGAGGAGAGCAAGGGCATCTTATAGCTTGGTGGACCGAGGTGATGGTGCAGTGCACCGAGAGTGAAGGCGGTATGGATGGAAGACACTGATGGTTCACGATGTGATGAATAGGTCGACCATGGTGTGCTCCCTGCACGAGCTTGAGTGGAGGAAGGAAAAAGGAGAGGAGGGGGTTCGCTCGATGAGGGAGGCATGCGAGCAGCCGTGTCCCCAAAAGAGAAAAATAGGAGGGGGTCCAGCATGGGGATGAGGGTGAGGATTGAGAGCCGACAAGATGCCAGGAAAAGGGGACGCGCACAGTGCACAAGTACGGTGGATGCGGCATAATGCCGTGGTTACCCGAGAATGGGGTACTAGTGGACCCTGACACTGATGGCTTCCATAGGGCACGTAGCAATAGTGACCTGGCATGCATAGTGCAGGTGAGCTAGACACAAGGCTTGGGATATGACATCCACTCAGGCTTTTTCAATCACTCCCTATTACCCGAGGACTAACTTTTCCCTGTTGCTCTTCTTTTACTTCCCTTCCTTGTCCACAATATGCGCCAACCTTTGTATGAACTGAGATTGCGACATACATGCTTCCTCCAAAACCATATTCTCTTGTTTACTTTGAGG